CTGTTCGGCCGGGGGGACCTTTAGCAGCTCGAAAAGTTCTGTATAATATAATCGAGTATCATAGAATATAATATAATATAATATAATATAATATAATAGAATAGAATAGAATAGAATAGAATAGAATATAATAGAATATATACTTATTATGAATATTAATATTGAAATTCATATGAATATAATTCTTTAATGTGGCCTATGGCCCGAGTGGCACGAAGGCCTAGCACTTCAAGCGGCAAGCTCATGGCAAGGAATTCGGGAGGCTGCATAAAGCGTCCGAGGAACCCTTCCTGTCCTTTGCACCTTATATAGCTTCCGAATTGCATCTGCCGGAACCATCGACCAAGGAGGAACTTGCAAGTGCCATAGATGTTTAGGGTTTAGAGTTTAGGGTTTAGGGTTTTAGCGTTCAGGGTTTAGGTAGGGTTTAGGGCTTGGAGATGCGTTGGACCGAATGGCTCTAAAGTAGGCATTGTCTTTGTAATGTCGGGGCGTTGCTAAGATCATGATTGTTGTTGGTGATGATGGTGGTGATTATGACGACGAGGATGACGATGTTGACGACTGTGAGGATGCTGATGAGGAACCTGATGATGCTGCTGATGACGGTGATCATGATGATGAAGATGATAATGATGATGACGGTGATGTATAGGGGTAGGAGGACGATGCCGACGACCAGGACCAGCACCAGGACCACCATGGTGACGGTGATGATGAGCTTGATGATGGTGATGATGACGGTGACGGTGACGATGACTACGACGACGACGACGATGATAATGACGACGACGATGATAATGACGACGACGATCGCTGCGGCATTTGGTGGTTGACTCATGTGCTTGTGTGTGAGTGTCTCTGCGCACGTATGGTTTGTTGGCCAGGCAAGGGCGAAGAGCAGGACGCGGAAGAAGGAGCCTCCACCTGACCCAGGTACGGTTGATGTTATACATCCTGCATTGCCCATAATAAAGGAATATGTATCATAGTTCCCATAGTGTAGGGTCCTTAAGGTAATGCAGGATTTAGATCATCAACGGTAGGAGACACTGCAGAGTGCTGGGTCTAGGCGCCCTGGGGTTCCGAATCTTCCAGGTTCCGTTCTTCAGCCGTCGAATGACGCGCTTGATCTTAAGCTTGGCGTTCTTCTGGCCGGCTCTTAGGACTTTAACCTTTTTGGGGTTTCTCTAAGACATATAGTATGTAGGCTAAAAGTTTTAACTTTTAGGAGGGGTTCAGCAGTCAGCCAAACCCTAAACCCTAATCCCTAAACCCAAACCCAGTCCCTAAACCGTAAACCTTAAACCCTAAATCCCTAAACCCTAAGTAACCTCGACCTCTTGACTTGGGATTTCTGGGTTCACTGTCTTGAGTGACAGGTTGGAGAGTTTGGGGATGACGTCCGAATAGGGTTTAGGCTTCAGGGTTTAGGGTTTAGGGGTTAGGGTTTTGGTGTAGGGTTTAGGGTTTAGGGGTGCCTGGCTGTTACAGTCATATTGGGCAGTTATCTAAGTTAGAGTCCGTTTGGGGGTATTTTTTGGGTCCCTTTTTTTATAAGGGTGCCGTACTAATACTATTTCTGGGGACCTAAACAGGGACCCTCATTTGCAGAACTACCCATATGGTGATCTGGAACTACTGAGGCCTGTGACATGTTGTCAAGCCAAAGACTCGGGCGACACATCGGTAGGGCGGTAACACCGTTTCATTTTTGAAACACCGATTTGAAAGACCGATGCCACTTCGAACTTATATAACTTTACAGACTTATAGATCCCAACCTAGACAACGGCAGGCCACGAGAGGTCCAGGGTAACCCGACACCTCTATAATAACCCTTCATTCCCAGCTGCAAAAGCCCAAGAACACATTTTTGCGTGCGTCCGTGTCCAGGGTCAACTATGACCCTGCTCAAGGACCCCAAGTCGATTTCAATCCGTTGAATTACAAATAGGCCCCTAAGTACTTCCTGTTTTATGGTTTGTATTTAGAATCCTATAAGGTAATCCCAAAAAAGGAACTACTTAGGGGCCTATGGGTATGTTGAAGTGAATTGTGCCAGTCTTGTGTTGTCGCGCATCTCTCCGATGTTATTTTGGCGGTGCTTCTATTGCTAGCATGACGAGGACCCTTAGCCCTAAGCACCCAAGTTCAGGACAGGACTGAGATTCCGATGGCTTCTTGGCTTGGGTTCCGGTTCTTTCGCACGCCCGGCCCTATGACTCAAAACGCACACCGTGCTTGGAATTCGTATGAACCCTGAACCCTAAACCCTAAACCCTGAACCCTGAACCCTGAACCCTAAACCCTAAACCCTAAACCAACCCCAAGCGAGATCTGTCGCAACTTTGGCGCTTGCAGGTCCAAAGTGCCAGCTCTTTTTCCTCCCACTCGTCAGCCACCGAGACGGCTGTTCGTTGGAAGTAGGGCTTGGGGTTTAGGGTTTAGGGTTTAGGGTTGAAAGTAGGGTTTGGGGTTTAGGGGCTACTGTAAGGTTTGGAGATCGGTGTGAGTTAAGTTAAGTTCCGTTTGTGATAGCTTCTGAGAGGATCTCACGTGTTTGGGGCTGTCCGCTTTCGGGCCTGGCTTGAAGGTGTATCACGACTTGGAGGTTTTTCCAGAGTACGGACAGAAGCAGTCCCAAATCCCATACCAGTACATGCCATAATCTTCACTGCCGCGGCCTATCGATTGATTTTCAGTGGTGAACCCTGACCCTGTTTGGTTTAATTCGGCGGCTTGCAGGCGAAGCAGCATATAGCAACCCTGTCATTCGAGCTGAGCGGATTGGGGTGCAAGATGTATTGTGCCAGCAAGAAACCTCTCCCTGAGGGTTTGAGAACAGACGTCCAGTACTTCGTGGGTTTCATTTGCGCCTTCTTTGTTTGCATTTAGGTATTGCTCGGCAAGGTAACGGGGGAGTGAAGCTTACTAAGTGGCGCCTAATGACCCAGGATACTCAACAGCACTGGAAGCTTGGTCTCGGCGACAAGAAAGACGCGTCTTTCCGGCGAGCCTTTGTTGCCAGTCTCGGATGAGAGTGTGGGATTCACGGGTCCAGGCTTAGTAGTGGCTGTAGGCCATGATTTCCGATTTCCGTTGTCGTGGGGTTGGAGTCAGTTGGAAGAGTGTCGTTATATCGCGATCTGCCAGTCAGTTTGGAACTAGAAGTTATTGGAGTGCATGTGGCTTAAGCGCGATGTTGCGAAGACGGAGGCGCTCATGGGGGAGGAGCAGTGCTCTGTCGGGAGTTGCTGTGGGCTGGCTTTGTGTTCTGGCACGGGGCCCTGCAGTTTCAGGCGCATCTTCGTGGTGGACGGCCGGATACCCTCGACAAAAGCATAGGAGTCTTGCAGAAGTGGAGCTCTTGTCGCATCTGGCTGTGATATTGGTGCCTCAGATCCCCATCAAGGAGCTGTTTCGAGATTTTTGCGTAGAGCCCTCGGAGAATTGGGCTTCGAGCCGCCTGAGCCCGGATTTGGCCGTGCCTGGTGTGCTGAGGAGGGAGAATGCGATTCTGTTTCTGGAGTACGATGGCTACTACCGGCATCACCTGCCCTGCGGTATTCAAGCAGACGAGCGGAAGAACGCAGCCTTGTTGCAGCACGCCCCCTTGGGTTCGCACATCGTGAGGGTGGCCCATGCCGGTCGAAACTGGTCCGAAGTCCAAGACAGTGTGATCGAATCTGTGGTGGGCACTTGGCAGCCAGGCGACACAAAATCTTTGCTGCAAAGCCTGGGGCAAGTTACTGATTGTCTGGCAAGCGAACTGACTGATTCACTGCTATGGTCCGAAACAAGTCGGCATCTGCAGACCGCACGCCCGATGAATCATGATAACCTGGAGCGTGCGAAAACATTTTTGGACCAAGCAGTGCTCTGCAATGCACCTGGGACAAGAGAAAGCAGAAGGTGCGAAATCGTGCAATTTCTTCAGGAAGACATTGGCTTGTCAGAGCTTGTTGCTAAGTCAGCATTGCAGAAACATGTTCAGTTGCTTGGATACAGCATCGAGGCAAACCTGAAGCCGACGGTGGAGTGGCTGCATCAAGTGGGTTTGAGCGATGCGCAGGTGTCCAAGGCCATTGCCAAGTGTCCGCAGTTGCTTGGTTACAGCATCGAGGGAAACCTGAAGCCGACAGTGCAGTGGCTGCACGAATTGGGTTTGAGCGAAGGGCAGGTGTCCAAGGCCATTGCCAACTGTCCGCAGTTGCTTGGGTTGAGCATCGAGGGAAACCTGAAGCCGACGGTGGAGTGGCTGCATCAAGTGGGTTTGAGCGATGCGCAGGTGCGCAAGGCCATTGCCAAGTCTCCGCAGTTGCTTTGGTTGAGCATCGAGGGAAACCTGAAGCCGACGGTGGAGTGGCTGCAGCAAGTGGGTTTGAGCGATGCGCAGGTGTGCAAGGCCATTGCCAAGTCTCCGCAGTTGCTTTGGTTGAGCATCGCGCGAAACCTGAAGCCGACGGTTGAGTGGCTGCATCAAGACGTGGGTTTGAGCGATGCGCAGGTGTGCAAGGCCATTGAAAAGTTTCCTCCCCTGCTCTCCTACAGCACCGCCAAGAACCTTAGCCCGAAGTTTCGCTTTTTGCAGAGCTACTACGATGCGGCATCCATTCGGGACATGATCGTTGCTTGTCCTGCTTTGCTGGGATACAGCCGAGCTCGCTTGGAGCACCGGCTCAACATTTTGCATGGTCAAGGCCAGCTCTCCAAGCTAGTCTCTGCCATGACGCTGACCAATGCTCGCTTTAAGCTACGGGTTCCGACGTGAGCTGCTGGCGAATTTGCAGGAGCTTTTCCAGCTCCTGCAGAATTCAGACTAGAGTGCTTCAGGTGAAGTCAAGAAACTCTGGCGAAGGTGAAGATGAGACCGGGGGAAGAAGGGATCTGAAGTTGAAAAGTGTAGACATGCTCAGAGCTGCCATGTTTCTCCCAAACGCAAAGTCGACGTCCGATAATAACACGACCTGAGTCTTCAAAACCCCCTCTGGCCAGGATGACACATCGGCGGAGTGAGGCCTGTGGGTTCCTTCTCGTTGATGGATGTCTGCACAGCTCAGCGCTTGCATTGTGAAGGCGGTCGTAAGGAGTTCGAAGAAGAAGTTACTTATGTTGAGCATTAGTGAACCATAACTGACCACAGTACGTTCACCAAATTTCCTGAACCTGAGCCTGAGCAGGAAAACCGCTAGACCTGGAGGGTGTAGATAAGCATCGTTCGGGTAAGCCGGGTAAGCATGAGTCCATCAAGCCCAACCGTCTTAGGTAAAAGCCAGGGCTTCAAGGCCAGAAACCTTTGGCTGCAAGCCTGTTTTAGGCAAAGCTGAATTTGCTGCGAATTAGCAATTACGATCCTGAATGCCTTGATTAAAAGCTGCATCTTAAACTTTAAACCACCCCAAGTCCTCACCAGCTAGTAAAGTCATAACCTGAAGCCCTAACACCCTATAAACCTTAACCCCCAAACCCTAAACGCTAAACCCTAACCCTAAACCTGAACCCTAAACTGTACTAAGACCCAAGAACAAACAGCCAAACCTCCTGAAGACTTTGGAGGACCTTCGGGCCGAAGCAATTACCAATATCCCTTGATCAATGAGTGGTCCCGTAGGGTGTAGTGCTTGTTTTTTTTTGGGTTTCGGGTTTTAGGGTTTAAGGTTTAAGGGTTAGAGTTTAGGGTTTAGGGTTTTAGGGTTTAGGGTTGTGAGGAGGTAGGGTTTAGGGTTTAGGGTTTAAACGTTTAGGTGTCAAGAACATCCCTCATGGGAGCCCTCCTGAAGGATGTTGACTTTCACGTACGGACTGTTGTCCCTGTGAAGGCGAGAATCCCGACTTTTGGGGTCCCTGGGAACCCTAAACTCCGCAACCCTATAGAAAAACCCAGCCCCCAAACCCCTAAACTTTCCTCTAAACCCCAGGACCCAAGAACCCTTCTAAAATCCTTATCCAAATCCTAAACCCTTAAACCCTCAACCCTCACTATCCCAGAACCGAAGACCCCGGCAAGGCCTCGATGTCCCAGCGGCTGATGAGTTCGGCGAGTTGGGCTCTCCAAGTTCAGGGTTGCTGACGGTGAAACCTTGCTTAGTCTTTAGGGTGTTTTAGGGTTAAGGGTTTGGGTTTCCTTTACTTAAAGTTAGGACACGGTGTTTATCGGCGTTTTCTCCAGGAGCCTGACGATAAACCCTAAACCCTAAACACTAAACCCTAACTCTGAATCCTAAACCCTAAACCCTAAACTCCCAAGCCCTCAACCCTAAACCCTAAACTCCTAAGCCCTAATGGGTCCTATGGCTTTTTGACGGTTATGCTCCTGCAGCCCGGAAGGCTGAAACCGTGAAAGCAAGCGTTACAATGCCGGGAACACCATGTCTTAAAGAAAAAGGGGCTCTTGGGATTTAGGGTGTAGGGTTTTAGAGTTTAGGGTTGAGGGGTTTTGGGGTTTTAGGGTTTAGGGTTTAGGGTTTGGGAGTTTAGGGGTTTAGGGATTTAGGGTTTCGGGTTTAGGGGATTTAGGGTTAGGCAAAGCCACAGTGATTGGTCCCAATATGGGGATGCGCATAGTTTGTGAAGTTAGTGATGTGATGTTCATCAGGCTTCCCTGCCGTGTCCGTACGAACGCCCCCTTTGTCAAAGCAGATACCCTAAACCCCAAATCCTAAAAACCTTAAATAAAGCCTCAAACCCTGAAGACGCAAAGCTTTAAACCCCAGCTTATCCGAGTACTCCTTACCCTAAGTCCCAACCCCCCCTAAAACCCTAAACCCCTAATCCCCACAGAAAGCCCTAAACCACCGAAAAAAAAACAACCCTATCCCTAAACCCCAGAAAAAACAACCCAAAACCAACAGAAAAAAAAACTTATCCCTAAACCCCTAAACCCCAACTCTTCCACCCTAAGATCGGCCCAGGCACAAAATGCCTAGACACCCCAAGCACTCAACCCTTCAAACCCGTCAGGTTTACGAGTTTCGCATAAAACCCCTAAACCCTGAAACCCTGAACCCTAAACCCTATCCCCCTAAACCCCAAAACCACGTAAACCCCTGAGCCCTAAACCCTTAAACCCTAAACCCCTAAACCTAAAACCCAAAACCCCTAAACCCTAAGCCCCACTAACCCCTGAACCCAATCCCCCCTAAACCCTAAACCCCTAAACCTTAAACCCTAATCCCTAAACCCCTGAACCCTTAAACCCCAGAACCCTAAACCCTAAACCCCTAAACCCTATAAACCCTAAACCCCATTAAACCCCTAAACCCCTAAACCCTAAAGCTTAAACCCGAAACCCTTAAACCCCTAAACCCCACTAAACCCCATAAACCCCTAAACCCCAGAAGCCCCTTAAATTTCAGCCCAGGTGAGGCCTCCCAGGGATCCAACCACACGGCCGAGCCAACGCAGGCGACGCAGGGAGCCACGCCTTTTGGGGTTTAAGGGTGGGGTTTAGGCCTTTTGGGTTGTAAGGGTGGAGTTTAGGGGTTTTAGGGGTTTCGAGCAGTTTATGTTGGTTTTGGGGTTTGGGATAGGACAGAATTTGGGGTTTAGGACTACGGATGGTTGTGGGGTGATACTTTTTGAGGATGAGGGGACCTGCAGCAACCGCCCTGAAAGTCGGAACGTCTTCTGATTAGTATGCCCCTGATGCAAACTGTGGGGACTCGCAACACCAGTTAGCCCTGAACCCAAAACCCTAAACCCCTAAACCCCAAACCCCTAAACCCAACACCCTAAACCCAAAAACCCTAAACCCAAAACCCAACACCCTAAACCCTAAATCCTAAACCCAGTTAGCCCCCCTCTTGGACTTTCTGGAGGTCGCCACAGCAAGATGAGTTTTGGGGCTTGGAGAGACGCCACTGGATGGCTACGGTTGATGGTGTACATCCTGCACTACCCATAAAAAGGAATAGACCATAATTGGTAAGAGTGTTTCTTTTTTTGCTGTCGTTGCTTTTTTGC